GACCCACAAAAGAGCCTTCTCTGTCCAGTAAAACACATGCTTCAACTAGTACAATTTAAAAATATGTTAATGCTTAGAAGTAATAAAAAGAAATTCAAAGAGGCATGAGAGTAATTAAAGCTGATATCTATTTTTTCCTCTGGACATCAAGGTATCATGGACATCAAACCAATGTTTGCAGTTCGTAACCATGGGCAAAGTGAACCCATGCAGCTCAGTTTGAGAATTAATCTAAGTTTTATTTAGTGTAAGTATTCTTAGTGGTTCCTTTTTAAAAATAGTTCTTTTTTTCCCCTTTGTGGTTCTTGCTTTTCTCAGGCTAGTGCAGAGGGGCCGTGGTGAGGCTGTAAGGAACAGGGCATGGTCAGCCTTTCACTGCCTTCTGTTCGCACAGCGTGTGGGCTGAGGGGAATAGTTGCAGCCTGAGGCCACTAACTCACTTTTTAAAAATATTGATTTCAAAGAGAGGAAGGGAGAAAGGGATAGAGACATTGATTAGCTGCCTATTGCACACCCCCTTACTGGAGATCAAGCCTGCCGCCCAGGCATGTGCCACGACCAGAAAATGGAACCGATGACCTCCTGGTGCACAGGCCGGTGCTCAGCCACCGAGCTACACTGGCTGGGCTGAGGCAGGGATGAGGTCACTAACTCTTTACCTTCTAGGATAGATCCATCCTGGCCATAAGACATCTCTCATTTGTTTTATATGGTGGCTTTAAAATTATTTGGTACTACCCAGATACTTTTTGGAACAAGGCAGGGAAATAGATGAGTTTTTAAAAACCATTAAATATGTTCCTTAGTATATTCAAATTTACTCAAAAGAACCAAATATGGTTGTAATTTATAAAGTTTCATTCTGTTTGCTATTTCTTCTTCAAAATAAGAATACCACATGTAGCTGAAACCGGTTTGGCTCAGTGGATAGAGCGTCGGTCTGTGGACTGAAAGGTCCCAGGTTCGATTCCGGTCAAGGGCATGCACCTTGGTTCAGGGCACATCCCCGATATGGGGTGTGCAGGAGGCAGCTGGTCAATGACGTTTCTAGCTCTCTATTCCTCTCCCTTCCTCTCTGTGGAAAATCAATAAAATATATTTTTTTAAAAAAGAATACCACATGTAAGCGGTTCACCTCTCACTAAGATGGATATTAAGACTTTAATGACAACTAGTTTTGTAAAGGCTTTGGTGTCAGACCAGTTTTCTTATGATTATGTTGTGACAGAAAGCGATGGCTCAGGAGAACAGAGTGAGTGAGTTCTGTCCTCAGCTCCGCTCCTCACTGGCTTTGTGACATGGAGCAAAGTAGCTTGAGCTCTGTTCACAGGGCAGGAGAGAGCACAGGGACCGCTATCCCAGTTTTAAAGGCTGTAGCACACTTCAGCACCATGTCCATTTCTGTAAAGGGAAATCTAAAATGAAAGTTCATCCAGATTTGTTTCCAAGAAACTCATCACTGTGCACACATTATTACATTAGCCATCTCTCGGAAGAACCACAACTTATTCTCAAGACCATGTAGGAAATTGTTTGGGGAAAAAAGTCTCAAGACTGACGCATGGCCGCTATTTCCCTCCTCCAGCCCTCCCTCATACTCCCCCACCCCTACCTCCTGAATTCTCTTCTTGATCCTTGTTCCTGGTCTCTTCTTCTTTGTTTCATCATATATTTACTTTCTCACAGAATTTTCTGGGAAAATAGGGGCTGTGTATGTGCTCCTTTTGATTAAAAGTGAATTTGCATGCTGGAAACATTGCTTTCATTAAAATAGGGTTCTAGATTTTATGTAAAAAGGGAGTTTCTCCAAGATTTTTTGAAGCATTGCCCAACTGAAACTCTTGTCACTCGATATAAAAATAGCATGTTTTCTCAACTAGCAGATCTTTTTGAAGAAAAATGCTGTGTAATTCTAAGTGAAGAGCATGTATGTTTCTGCTCAATGTATTACAATATTTTAAATCAGAGAAAATATCTGTCAATAAAGAAAGCTTCTGATAATTGATGAAAATGACTAAAAACTAGCAGTTAGAAATAATTTAAAATTTTTTATAAACCATGAGACTCCAAAAAGTAAGTGTAGTGAGTACATAGTATGTATCCAAATATTTTATGAATAAAATAATAAAATCATTATTTTGACAATCAGCAGCTGAAATTGGGAGATGAGGAAAATGCCATCTTCACTCTTGCACAGTATGGGCTTACTCCGAATGTTTTAAAAACATGTGAGTTTTAGAAAATTGGTGGCATTATCCTTGGCAGATTCAGAGGATTTGACATCTCTCATAGACCCTCTAACACCTGCATCTGGAAAATACAAAACGTCCTCTAGATGGAGCACCAGGCCTTTGCTTTGTTAGGTAAACAAGTTTTCCGGTTATAAAAGGCATTTTAAGAAGTAATTTTAAACAGAAAATAATGCATTCTTAACCTTAGCCTATCTTACATCTATTCATTGATGAAGGGAACATTACCTATCAGACAACAGAACTTATTCTCACATGTGCTGAAGTAAAATCTTCTTGACTTTAAGTTTTCCAAGTGAGATAGTTCCACTGCATTCTGGAGATATGGGCAAAAGCCAGAAAAGAGAATATTAAAAAATATTCTCCGAAAGACTTGAATACAATCGAGGGGAGGGATGGTGAGGATTGAGAAGGACAAGGATTAAGAGCAGTCCCTTTGTCTGGACCAGTGGTTGGCAAACTCATTAGTCAACAAAGCCAAATATCAACAGCACAACAATTAAAATTTCTTTTGAGAGCCAAATTTTTAAGACTTAAACTTCTTCTAATGCCACTTCTTCAAAATAGACTTACCCAGGCCGTAGTATTTTGTGAAGAGCCACACTCAAGGGCCAAAGAGCTGCATGTGGCTCGCGAGCCACAGTTTGCCGACCACGAGTCTAGACTCTAAAGCATTTTTCCAAAGGCAGTTCCAGTGGCTAAGTCATACAGACACTTTTGTGGTGAAAAATAGGACCGTCCACTGGTGGTCTGTGAGGTCTCAACAGTTGGTGACTGCTGAATGCATTCTTCTCTTTTTATGATCAAAGAAACAGACTGAGAGAAGTAGTTGTCTTTCTCATATACTGATGGAGTGAGTGTTGGTGTAAAACTGAATAAGCAGTGCAGCAAATGTGTGTTGTCTTGGCTGTCTAGCATCCATTCCCTTTTCCTAAGAACACTGACTTTCTTTTGGAAGTTACGTTACCCCAACAGTATGGAATCTTGGAAAGCTAGTCATGGAAGCTGAGGTGTCCCATGAAACTGCTTCTGCATAGGCAAGAGTTAGGCATGTGACTTCATCAGCCACTTGAGGGATTTCAAATCTTAAGCAGAATTTTTGTAAGGAAACAAGAAACAGCTGAAACTCATTTACCTTAGGTGTTAACCTGATATTCATTTTCCTAAGTATGATTTTTATTTTCCCCACCTTTATTAAATATAATTGGCTTCTGATATTGTATAAGTTTAAGGTGCATAATGTAATGATTTGATATATGCATATATATTGCAAATTCTAAGCACAATTTTTCAACCTTCCTATTAGTTCTGAGTGCTCTAATCACTTGATAATTCCCCTTTTGCTTAAATCAGCTAGATTTATTTCTGGTATTTTCAATTAAAGAACCTTAAGTGATTCCAGAAACTACTATCTACTGGACAATGAAGCAAATTTTTTTCTTATATTTATTGGAAATTCAAATCACACAAGAGTTGCTTTTAACTACCAAGAGTAACTTAAGACTGATTCATAAAGGAAAAACAAAAAATACTCTTTTCTAATTGCCTGAACTGAAACATAATACAACAACATGTTTTTAGATCTTTTGAGCTATGACAAATTTTAAATTCTAGTAAGAATAATCTGACAACACTATTGTAATAAATGCGAAAAATTTTCCCTTATGTATTACACCAGAGAGCATTCTAAAAATAAAGTAATACTAGTTTATTTTGCCCAGATTGTTTTCTAAATCTTAAAAATTGCATAAAACAGCCGAAACCGGTTTGCCTCAGTGGTAGAGCGTCGGTCTGCGGACTGAAAGGTCCCAGGTTCGATTCTGGTCAGGGGCATGTACGTTGGTTGCGGGCACATCCCCGGTAGAGGATGTGCAAGAAGCAGCCGGTCGATGTTTCTCTCTCATTGACATTTCTAGCTCTCTATCTCTCTCCCTTCCTCTCTGTAAAAAATCAATAAAATATATTTAAAAAAAATAATTTTTTTTTAAAAATTGCATAAAACAAATGAACTTGGCTTGTTTTCCTATTAGAAACGGGGACCTCCAAACTGGTAAAATAGTATAAACAACAGCCATAGAATTAACAGTGATATAATAAAGGCCTTTAATTTTTTCCCCCCTCCCATTCAAATTCCTTCTCAAGAGCTTCTGGCTTGTCCCTGCTATTTAAAAAATGCATTAAAAAAACCTCATTTTTCTTTTTAATATAATTTTTGATGCCCCAGCAAGTAGACACTTCTTCCTCCCCTTCCACATCTCAGAATATATTTCTTAAAAAGAAGTTTGATGTTTATAAAAGTTTCTTTAGACAATTGTAGCTAATCTTTGGAATAATGTAGTATGATTTGATTTATAAGCTGACAAGTCTCACGTTTTAACAATGAAACCTACTAGAAAGAGTTCAGCCATTCTTATCGTAATGAGATTTTGAGGCAGAATGTGCAGCTTGGCTCAGCATGGCAGAGCAGGGGAAGAATGCTCCAAAGCCTGGGACATACACAGTGACTTTCCAGAGTTAGCCAGCAGAGGGCTTTCCTGTGCTTGCTGAAAGTATATTGTTTTTGTCAAAATCATAGTGCAAAAAATATAAGCTCAGGTTAAAGATATAGCTAGCTTAAATAAAAATAAAATAGAAAGACTGAAGAGTAGAATGAAATGTATGTGATCTGATTCAATCTAATATTTGACTTGTTAGTGTACCAGTTACTAATGGCAGATTTTTTTTTCAAAGAAAACAGGATAATTTCAAGAGAAACATCAAAAGTGCTCTATTCAAAGTAATGTCCTTCTCTAGCTACACATTTCCCCCATCTTTCAGGTTAATTTGTGGATATCATCTCAATAGAACTTTTCTTCTTTTGAGGCAAACCATTCAGTGACCCAATTTTCCACTCTTTGTACATATTGAAGTGCTGCTCAGAAAGGGCATGTGCCATTGATTGGAACAAGTGGTAATCTGAAGGAGCAAGGTCTGGTGATTACAATGAGTGGGTTAATACTCCCCAGGCAAGATCTTTTAAAGTGTCTTTAACTGGTTTTGAAGTGTGCGATGGTGCCTCATCATGAAACAAAATTACTTGCTGTGTCTTCCAGCCCATTCTGGTCATTTCACAATCAAACCATGGTTCAAATTGATTATTTGTTGTTGATAATGATCAGTATCATGGTTTCATCTGGTTTTAGAAGCTCATAATACACCACACCTTCCTAATCCCACCAAATGCAGAGCATTGTCTTCTTTCCAAAGGGATTTAGCCTTTAAGTCAATGTTGACTACCAACCCATGATTTTGTGCATTTGGTATTTTCAAAATAAATCCACTTTTCACCACCAGTCACAATTCGATGCAAACAAGACTTTCTTTCCTGCCATTGAAGCAACATTTTACTGATGACTTTTCGGTTTTTCATTTGTCTTTTGTGCAGTTGATGACCCATTTTCCTTCTTTAAAAATCTTTCCCATGGCTTGTAAATAATTGGAAATTGTTTGCTGAGCAGCGTTTAATCTTTCTGCAAGTTGTTTTTGAATTTGACATGCATCTTCATCCAATAATGCTTGTGATAGTTGGTCTTCAAACTTTTTTGGTTGACCTGAATGTTCTTTGTCTTTCACATCAAAATAATCACTTTTAAAGCATTTAAACCAGCATTCACAAGTATCTTGAGATGGATCATGTTCACCATAAGCTTCCCGAAGTATAAGATAACTTTCAGCAGCACTTTTCTTCAAAATAATGAATTAAAACTTCCCGCAAATGCTCTTTTTTTTTTGGCATGAAATTTGACGTTTTTAAGCATAAAAATATCTATGATATTAACACCTTCAAATTTGACATATGAATTTTTGAAGCTTGCTATCAACACAACAAAATGGCATACACATCAAATCACATATATATCAACATATGTGTAACTCCATCTCTTGAAAAAAATCCACATTATTAACCGGTACAACTAACCATTTGAATGTCAGAATGTGTGTTAATAGGTAGTAGTGCAGGTAACAACTTACCAGTTTTGGGGATTCCCTTGAATTAGATTTTGATATAACCCATCATGCTTTTTGACTGGATGACAGTGGTATGCTGGGGCCAGCTCCTACTGGATTTTGAAAACCAATTATTACATTTGCAGTAATTTTATGAGTCAGTTGAAATCACAGTGATAGCTTAGAATTGACCAGGGTGGGAGTATTTACCCCATGGACACCTGCAAAGGCTACAATCTGGCCCTTTCCTTTCCCCTGAGATGTTTTTGAACATTTATCACTGGATATACAGGAAAGGAGACATTCTTGCTCTAGCCAATTTGGCTTAATAGACAATAACTCATAAACTGAAGGGTCCCAGGTCCCAGTCCCTGCAAGGATAGGTATCTTGGTTGCAGGCTCCTTCCCAGCCCTGGTGAATGGATGTGTCTCTCTCACATCAATATTTCTCTCTCTGTGTCTCTCTCTCTCCCTTCCACTCTCTCTTAAAAAAAAAAAATGATATCCTCCGGTGAAGATTAACCAAACAAACAAACAAACAAACAAACAAAAAAACGGGGTGGGTGCGTTCTTAAGAACTGTGCCATCACACACCATTTTCATGTCTACCTGTGTCTGTTCCACCCATCCCAGTTGATTGCCGGAAAAGTCATTGGTTTGGTGCCAGGCTGTTAATGTTGGGAACTCAATCTGCCTCTTTCTCCACTAACAAGCGAGGTGGGACTTGGTGGTGGACCCCAAAGCTGCCCCTGCTGTTGGGTGAACAGCAAGCTGTGTGTGGGGGATGGTGAGCAGAGGCCTTGAGGTGAGCATGAGCTGCAGTCCCTCTCCCATGACATCCTGCTTATTTTCTGCCCCTGGTCTCTCATAGGACACAACACAGTAGTCCCCTCCCTTATCTGTGGTTTCTTTTTCTACAGCACATATGTCAAACACAAGGCCCGCGGGCCAAATCTGTCCCGCCAGGCCTTGCAATGTGGCCCGCACCGCGCTGTCATCACTGCACTCCGCTGCCTTTCCATCACAATGACAGTTTATGACTGTTCAGTAAACCATTCGGCCCGTGATTTAGGCTGGATTTTAGATTTTGGCCCCTTCTCTGATTGAGTTCAACACCCCTATTCTACAGCTTTAGTTGCCCATGATCAACCAAGGTCTGAAAATATTAAATGGAAAATTCCAGAAATAAACAATTCTTAAGTTTTAAACGGAGTCTTCTACATTGTGTGATGAAATCTCTGCCTTTTCCCCCTTTCCCCCACCCCAGCCCGCCAGCCAGGGAGGTGAACCATCTCTCTGTCCAGCATAACCATTCTGTAAATGCTCCCACCTAATAGTCACTTCCGATTATCAGGTCAACTGTTATGTTATCGCGATGCTAGTGTTCAAGTAATCCTGTTTTATTTACTCATGGCCCCAAAGTACAAGAGTAGTGATGCTGGCAATTTGGATATGCCAAACAGAAATTGTGAAGTGCTTCCTTTAAGTGAAAAGGTGAGAACAGTGCAATAAGATATTCTGAGAGGGACCACATTCACATAACTTTTATTATAGACATTATTATAATTGCTCTATTATTGTTGTTGTTATTTTCTTACTATACCTAATGAATACCTTAAACTTTATCATACCAATGGACATACAGGAAAAAATATGGCATATATAGGATTTGGTATTATACCATTTCAGGCACACACTGGGGGTCTTAGAATGTATTCCTCTTGGATTAGTGGGACTACTGTGAATGCAATTGTCCCAGGCATGGCTAGTCTGGATCTCAATTCTGTCTTTTGAAATGCTATCACCTTTCAACTACACATCTTTCATGACATCTATCGTTGACAATCCTATATAATAAAGATGTAATATGCAAATTTTCATTACACCGTGAAGCATAATGACCATCTATGTAACAACCAGATCACGGATCAGCAGGAAGGTGGGGCAGCGAGCTACAAGTGGGCAGCGGAGAGCTACAGGAGAAGGCAGAGCAGCAAGCTATGAAGCTGGGAGGGGGGAGCTATAGGAGGGCGGAGATCAGGTGGAGATCTACTGGAGGGTGGCGGCCAGCTACTGGTGCACGGATTGGTGCGCAGAGTGTAATAATATTGTTATTTATAAATGTGCTGCGGCCTCAGATTTACTAACACTGCTCAGATGTTCCATGAACCATTAGGCTCTTAATTTTTTTCTGGAGCCAACCTTATGACCAGCATTCACTGCTTTATTGACTTAGCTCTATATGGTTTAGGTAAACATCCTTCAGCATTTCAGTACCTCTCCCAGTGTGGGTTGGGTGGGGCTCACTTGTCCCTTTCTGTGTTTGGGAGACTGGTTTTAGGTCTGTGCAGCGTTCTTGGAGGAGTGCTGGTTTCTGTAGTGAGTGGCTAGTCCAGGCTTCTCTTCCACCTCACCCATGTGATTAATCTTACCACTAGTATCTGCTGCTGACTGGAACTGCTGATGGAAGCTGGTGTGACTCTTGCTTTGTCCTTCTGGGAAGTTTCTCTGATGATGTTGGCTCTACTTCAGCTCTTGCTGGTTTTGTGGAACCCTCTAAAGTCTGACTGTGAATCTTTGGCCACATAGTCCAACCTGCACACGTCTGCTACCAGGTGGTTCCTTCTTAAGACAGCAGCCCTCCTGTAAGCTGTGAGGCCAGACTCAACCTCCTTCCCCAGCATCCGGAGAAGGATTTGGTTTTGTCTGCCAAGTGGCATCTGAGGGCTGCCCCAGAGAGCTGAACTCAGGTCCTCTCTTCGCTTATCCACCTGCTTTTAGCTTGCACTTTATGGTGCCACCTTCCTTCCTCTCTCTGATGCTTTCTCTTCCTCACAGTCCCTCTGGCTGGGAATGATGGGTTTTAACTTTTCCCTTTTACCTCACTGGGAACCTCATCATATAAACTCTAAGATCCGGTGCCTCAGTCCTGCCGCCTAATAAGTAAATAGGGGGAGATAAATCTATAGAAAATCTCTTTCTTGAAAAAACACACACTTGGATTTTAAACTTGTTGTCTTTTTTTTGCAAACAACAACAAAAACATCCTGCTTTGTATATCTGAAGCATAATACTATATGTATTTTCTTTTTTCCTCTTTGCATCTTGGCTGAAATAATCTGAATTCCCCCAAGATAAATGCATGCCTCGTTCTGACTTGGAAGAAGGTCATACACATGAAATCGCAAAAAAAAGTAAAATATATTAATATATCTAAAACATTATCTTCATTACCTACATTATCTACATCTTCATTAAGTATACTTAACTTCTCTCATCTTCTGGGGTATAAGCTCCTCAAAAGAACTTCCTGCTAAGAACTATTCTTTTTTTGAGCAGCTCTTATGTCTCTGTTTTCAATATCTCCCTCTCTGTGGTATCCTTCCTGTCAGGAAGGATAAATAAACAAACAAACCAATTCTACATGGGCTTCAATTCTGTCCAAACTTGTTCTTTCTCTAGTGTTTCCTATCTCAGTAAGTGACATCACCATCATCACCATCCACTTAATCATGCCAGATAACAGCATCCTTTATATCTTCTTTCTTCTCCTGCCCCATTGACTAGCAAATTCTATTACTCTGTTTACAAAATGTTTCTTGAATTAGTTTTTTTCTTCAATGTACACATCTTGTATTGTAGTCTAAGTTACGATCATCTCTTAACAGGATGATCATGGTCTTTGGTGGCTGTTTTCCTGCATTTACCTTTATTCTTCTGAAGACAGAGTGATCTTAAGCAGATAAATAAAATATATATAATTTATAATATGCATGTGTGTATATGTAGATATATTAATATATTTACATGTCTGCATATATATATATATATGTAAACATGTAAATATATTAATATATCTACATATACACACATGCATATTATAAATTATATATATTTTATTTATTTGCTTAATACACACACACACATATAACATCTGTGTATGTATAAACACACACATATAAAATCCTGTTCATGTTACTATTTTGCTTCAAATTCTCCACCATATTTTATTCTTCTTGGGATGAAGTCCAAAATTCTTACAATGGTCCAAAGCACTTGAGAGAGCACTTTGCTGCTCTCACATCCCAGCCTTGCATCCTGCTCTCCCTAGCTCACCTGCCCTAGCTGCACTAGCCCTTTATCTCTTCAAACCCACCAAGCTCTTTCCTTTTTAAAGCATCTGCACTGTTTTCTCTGCTTGGTAAAATCTTGGTTCTCTCGGGCTAACTCCAGTTATCAACATAAAAGTAACATTCTCTTGAAATCCTTCCTGGCAGACCTCCTTCATGCACAACTCCCTCAGGGCATTTTGTACTTTCTTTAAGAACTTATACCACAATTTTAATTAATTAGTTTTATAATTATTTTTGATATTTTTTACCTCACCAGATTATAAGCTTTTAAAGAAATATTTTTATCGATTTCAGAGAGGAAAAGAGAGGAAGAGACAGAAACATTAATGATGAGAGAGAATCATTGATCAGTTGCCTCCTGCATGTCACCCCCTACTGGAGATTGAGCCCACAACATGGGCATGTGCCCTGACAGGGAATCCAACCGTGATCTCTCTCTTTTTTTAAACTATGATCTCTTGATTCATATGTTGACGCTCAACCATTGAGCCAAGACACTAGTGACTTTTATCTCTGATTTATTTCAGCACCTGAGAAAACTAATTAGATTAGTGGTAGGACTACCATATATTATCTTGCTTACTGTCAAGTGCTTATCCCTGGTTACCAGAGAATGTGAGTGCATTTGTTTCTATTCCTATTGTAACACATTATCACAAACTTAGTGGCTTAAAACAACAGAGATTTGATATCTTATAGGTCTGGAGATCAGAAGTCTGAAATGAGTTTCAATGGGTTAAAATCAGGATGTTGGCAGTACGACATTTCTTCTGGAGACTTAGAGAAGAATCCATTCCATTGCCTTTTCCAGTTCCTAGAAGCTC